AAAAAAAAAAAAAAAAAAAAAAGAACAAAAGTGAGAAAAATCAGAAAGAAACAGACTCCTACGAGAGATTAAATTAATTATGATATTTATTGTGGTGGGTCAGACTCGCTGTGTTTAATCTTTAAGTAAGGCTTAATTTATTTTAATGCTTGAATATTAATATTTATTAAATGTCCCCTTAAAACTATTGAGCAAGGATGAATCCAGGAAGTTTTTAAAGAGGGTTAAAATGGGGGGGGGGCAGTGATGTACTTGGGTTGTTACGCCAAAAGTAATGATTAAACTACAGTGTAAAATATGCAAATGGAGAGGTCACCACAATACCCTCAAATAGATACAAATCTGAGCCATGAGAGTAAATTGTCCTAAAGTTTTCTGTATGTCTGTGACTTAATTTTTACTACACTTAAACAAGTCTAATCATTGTCTTGTTTTCACTGATGCATGTAAAAGAGTTGCTTTGAGTAGCTATAACAGAGTACAAACCAACTCTAAAGATGCTTGTAAAAAAGTGAACACTGTCAGGTTTCCCACTAAAGCAATGGGGTCCAAGAAAAAAAGCAGTGTCAACTAGAAACATGCTGTAAAGCTACTCTTGAAATTGTTGTGTGGCTCTTTACAGTGATGAGCTTTATTTGGCTCTGAATGCTGAACTGGTTCACCACCTCTGATCTATATCATTTGATTTCAGGTAAAGGTTAATTTACCCGTTGCACCTAGACATTTAGCAAGTAAGTAATAAAACTTGGGCAGATTTATTGATCCATTGATCTTTATCATCAATGGATGATAAAGATCATCCATTGATCTTTATAAGATCAATGGATGAAAAAGTTGTGTGGTGAAGTGAAAAAGGGAAGCAACTTCCCTTTATTCAGAAGTGGCACAAGAAAAGCCACAAATGACAACAGACGAATTATGAACAAACCTTCCACTTCCTGTTTTAATGAGTTGCAGCTTGATTCATTTATTTCTCAGAAAGGATTTCAAAGAAATTATTCTAATCTTACACCACGAAGTTCAGCTTAAAAACTCATGTCCAGTGGCGCAAAAAGTGGGTATGCAGCAGCGCATGCAACGCATAGGGGCGCTGCACCAGAGGGGGCGTCAAAACCCCGTCTGGAGGGGGTGGCACCCCGATAATGCCTTCGCATACACTTCACCGCGCCCTTACGCTCCTTCACCTCGCGCACATGTAAATGTAAATGCAGCGAGTTTTACCTTTCACGTGTCTTCGTCTCGGGGGGTAAACATACGGTCGCTCATACGGATAGATAGGGGTGGGGCGCCGATTTATGTTTTTACATCCACCTGAATAATATGTAGTTGCGCCCCTGCTCATGTCCATCTGCATACCTGCGAGGTGGAGGTCTCTGTCCTCGCAGGTTTGTCCTGTCTGTTTCATTTTTCTTGTCAGACTTCTGCAGGAACATGGAAGGGTAATGACCAGTCTCTTCTCCTTTTCTGGCAAGTAAACAACGAAAAAATAATTTTAAAATGGGTAAACAAACAAAAATATTTTATGCAGGAATCTCTGCCCACTCAAATGCTGGTATACATTAACTGTCTGTTCCTAAGGAGTAAAAGTGGTATTTAATAAATCAGTTGTAAAAAGGTTTTTCTGCATCTACAGCTGATTACATAAAGCTAAAAGATGTTTGATATACAAATCAGCAGCATCCTGACTGGTTTATTGAAGAAACCTTGCCTAATGTTGAAAGGAAACCTTCAGAACTATATCAAAAAGTTTCTTAGCACATCAATAGAGAGAAGATGGTGAGGTCTGGGCTAAAACTGAATGAAAAAACTAAATGAGACAATTTGAACAGTTTACAAAAAATGCTTGCTCAGATTTTACCTGATGACCCACCACCCATCCAGCAGTTTGTGAATGACCTCCACGGTGTCTCCCACCTCCAGAGAAATCTCATCCTCCTGCTCCACCTGGTATGCTTGGATGACGACATGCAGTTCTCCTGCACAGACGAACATCTCTGTCAGCAAACAGGCACTCGGAATGACCACCATCCTATTCGTGGCAGTAAATAATACATCTCTCACCTTCGTAATCCGGTTCAGGTTCCTCTGCCTCCTCTGGTCCATCGAGGGGTTCCAGGTAGGAAGCAGGGACCCAGCCTCGTTTGGATTCACACTGACAGAACCACCAACCTGAAACCACCAGCAGCAACTTCATAACAACCCAAAAACACATTGAAACTACCTTAACACCTCATTGAAATGAAGTTGCAAATATATTCTTTGTAACTTGAAAATGTGGTAAAAGAACATAACAGGTCAATTTAATATTTGAGTCAATTAAATAAGTTATTTTGGCAGTGCATTGCCAAAATAACTTGGTGTTTTGTTTTGGCAGAAAAAAGCAAATTGACTTTGTGTCATGGCAAAGCTTCATAAATATACATGCGTTTATCACAAAAAAACCACAATAAAATCATTTTAAAAAGATTAAATTCAGATGATCAGACTTAAGACTTTTCATGGCTTTGAAATCCTGTTCACACAAAAATGAAAGCAGTAGTTGATCCAGTATACTTGCTGTTAATACTTTGTGTAACCGTCTCTTGCCAATAATACCTCACGTGATCTTTTCTTGTGATATTTCACAGAGCTAGAGCAAACAGAGTGGAGGATATTTGACTAGTCCCCTTTTCACATTTTCTATATCAGGAATGTCATACTCCAGTCCTCCAGTGTTCTGTAACTTTTAGGCATGTTCCTATTCCAACACTTTGATGCTTCTCTCACCATTCTGATTTTTCTCCACAATTTCCACAAAGTCTCCGGTGTAGAGGTTGAGCTCATGTTTGGACGTCTTTTCAAAGTCTGCAATGACTCTGTAGGTGTCCAGGATGATGGGTCCAGAAATTTCTGCAGAGTGAAAATGTATGGCTCCCTTTATTAGTTAGCTAACACTTGCAAAATCTGATTGACTTGAGACCAAAAAACATCTAGTCCCATGTGTTTTCTTTTATTTTCTTTCAAACTAAAAGACAATAAAAATGACATAGGTTTTAATGATAAGTCTATATCATTAAACCAAAAAACTGTTGTCATCAAGAGATTGATCATAAATCAGTCAGTTTGTTTTCATGGGGTTTGACTTCATACGTTCAAAAATGGTCAGATTCACCCTTTAAAAACAACTGAGACTCCTTTGTCAGTAATAAAAGAGAATAAAAGTTGTAGTTAAGAAATATTTTAAAGATTTTCTGTTAAATCAGTTGAATCAAAACCTACCTGAAGCAGTGGCTCTGGCAAGTTCCCTGGACTCCACAAACAAGTCATTTCTTTTCATTCTGTAGGAAGAATACTCAGTTTTCATGTTTTTTTTTCTTTCCAAAATTAAAAAACAACAACAAAAAAAAACATTTTATGGTGCTGATGTGTGTCTGTGAGTCACATATACTGACGTATTTGGTGCAGGAGGGTTTTCGTCCTCAGGTCGGACCTTGAAGAAGGAGGACAGATGTTTGCAGCGGGAGATGTGAGCCGGCAAGTTGATGAGAGACTCGCAATACTCAGCTAGGGTGATCTTCCTGATTTCTCTGGACTTCTGGCTTTCCACCCATCGTGGGGCTGAGGAGACAAACAAACCACTGTTTGGTGAGGTTTAAAGATGATCAGAGTTGTTCAGTTGTAATTGAACATATTAACAATATTCCTCAAAGAAATACTGGAATGGAGTTGCACTTTAAGCCAGACAAGGAATCTGGAGAAATTTCAGGCAAGCTAGCTTCATAAGACAGACCTAAATTAAGATTTGTCATATTTGTCTCCTTATTATAAGCTTTGCAAGAAGCTCAGGGACATCCAAGTTAGACAGCCACACAGTTAAAATCTGGTATATGTTCAAATGAATCAATGTTGCAGATATTTCTAGGAAAATTTGAAGCAAAGAATCCCAAAGCGATTTGGATTGGGATAAGAGGGTATGGAGCTTTTTCAGTAACATAGCACCATTACACTTCTGTGATGACTGCTTTAATGAGAAAACTTCAGAGATGTCTGTCACTAGAGGACCCAAATTTGGGTCCTCTAGTGACAGAGGTGTCAAACTCCAGTCCTCAAGGGCCGCTGTCCTGCAACTTTTAGATGTGCCTCTGCTGCACCACACCTGAAAAGAATAATTAGGTCATTAGCAAGGCTCAGGAGAACCGATCTACACAGGGAGGAGGGAATTAAGCCATTTCATTCCACCGTTTTTTACCTGTGGCACATCTAAACACTGCAGGACAGCGGCCCTTGAGGCCTGGAGTTTGACACCCCTGTCATTGTGAATGACAACCTGAGACCAACAGGTTAAGTGAACACACGTTTGCTGGAAAAATTAGACAAAATAACACCTAAAACTATGCTTTTTATGACCAGAACCTTGCAAAAGCCTGAACAGCGTTTTCTATTAGAAAAAAAATCATATTTAATTCTAAAAAAATGGGCTGTTGCAACAAAAGAAACAAAGAGCCATTTGAAACATTGCTCTTCAGCTGCTTTAGGCTCTGAGTGATGAAAAGTTAGCAGCAAGCTGCAGTTTGTACCAGGACTGAGTTTTCTTTCTGCTTCTTCTTTTTCATTCTGCAACCACAAGTTTGGTAACATTTCACAAGGGGAATGTGTAAAGCTTTAGTTCTGTTTTTTAAATCAGAACTAAAGCTGAATGTTTAAACAGGAACTCAAAACCAAGACAACAATGATAACCTGCACGTTCCTAGAGTGGCCAAAAACTGAAACTACAACACCTGAAACATGGGAAATGCCCTCAAATACTGAATAGAAATAACAGTCTGCATATTTTCTGTTAATGCTCAACAGTTAATTTCACTTCTTTTTTTTGTTCTGTCTGCTGTAAAAAAGACAAAGATGGGGAAAGCTACAATTTAACTGCCACGGCATGAGATCTCTTTTCTATCAAATCTAGTATCATCCCTGCATTTAATTCTCTCTCCTTTCTTTTATGTCTTTAAATTAAAATGTATCAAAAGAAGAACTATGATTTCAAAAAGAGCAGCAATACAGGAGCAGTTTTCTCCATATGGTTGTCAAGACTCACTATACTCTCCTTTACCCTATGTTAGGTCCACTCTCGCATTTCAAAATATCCAAAAGGCAAAAAATGCCAGAGCAGCCCAGGAGGAGGGTTTCGACTTGCTCAAGCAAATAAAGCACTCGCGGAGACTCCTTTCTTGTTTCCAAAAGGTTTCTTTTACTTACAACTATAACAAAAAGTAATCTCTGAGTTGACTTCTACAAAAAAAACTTAATTTGCGGTACAAAGATCATTTCGCTCCTCACTCCTTTGTCAAACAATCAGCTCAGCCCCAACAGCTGTTTGTGCCTGTTAATCACCGCCTGCTGCTGACTGACAAGGAGGAGGGTCTAAAAAAGGAACAATTAAATACATACATAATTGAATATACAAAATTGAGCTACCATTAATTTGTCATTAAGTCTGTGGAAATTAATTTAGCAAAGAATACATTTATCTAATTCTTAATAGGCTCCAACACCCTATTTTAGCAGTGCAATATATTTTGTACATGTAACATTTAACTTCTAATTTTCTTTCTAATATATACAAATGTTGCCTTTAATATTCATTATCAATCTAATTCTGATTCTGGTTCTGAGCCTTTGCAATAGACTCAGAATGACATTAAACTGCTTCAGTAAAATGCATTAAAAGTGGGATTTAAACATGTTGATGAGACATTTTGACGTACTCTAAATCTTAATGTCTTATATAACTGAGTAACCTATTTGCTTTTCTTGTCATTTAAGATTAGATGCAGCAGTTATACATTTTAATTCATAACTGCAAATATGGTCAGCGCTCTTGATAATTATGGAATACACAAGCAGCAAATTTGATATTTTAAGGAAATTGACAACTTTGCTCTCTTTATTGGAAAGAAATACAACAAGATGGAGGAAGACAGGAGCCAAAGATATGCATTTCTGAGTAGATAATAACATAAATCTGTTTTCACTATGTCCCAAATGATTTTTAAGGACAGTTCAGATGCAAATGGAAAGCAGAAGTCCTGAGCTATGCCAATATAGTTGCCTGCAGCCATAAAGAGCTTCCTGTATGAAATAGATCAATTCACTAAACATCAGAGGCATCAATGTTCAGTCTGAATCAAATACAAGAAATATTACTAAAAAACACACCCAGGTGTTCATTTAGCTTGTATCCTTTTTGTAACTCATAAGAAAGAGGTCTAGTTTAGTTCTAGTGCCGAATAAGTTTTGAACAACACATTTGAAACTCAGTTAGTTCAGCATTTTCATCAAAGGTGAGGATTATTAATGAGGATAACTGCAGCAAAGCAGAGGGATGGACATTTATCATAATATTTGTCATTACCGTGAAAAATGTCGTATTTTTGGCAATGGTAAATTCCAATTCATGTTTGAAAAACCCAAAACGAACAATATTATCAGATATTTTTTAATATTGAAACAGTATTTTCCTATGCTGTCCATTTGCCATCTTTATAGATTATGTTCTGCTTTGGTTTTCATATTGTTAGTTTTGTGTACATTTACATGCTTCATCTCGCTTATGTCACTTTGTTGCTGGTATGCAAGAATTTTCCCACAAATGATATAAAGGTTTATTCTATTCTATTCTATTCTATATTAGTCATTAATCAAAGTAGACATTTGTCAACACAAATGGCCTTATTCTGAGAAGATTATATGAGTCTCTATGAGTCATCTTAAACAGAAGAACTCATGAAGGACTGATCTGGAGGAGTTTAACAAACACAGTTACAGTTGCAAAAACAAAAAAATGAAAAGGAAAACTGTAAAATTTCAGTTATCTGAATAAAACAAATAAAAATCACCTGCTGCTCATTTCTAAGATAAACAGGCCCTTTAGATGATACTAAATATTATTTTTTATTTGTATGGTGACGTTGCTCAGATAGTCAGCTGCAGATGGTGAAACTAGAATCTCCCATTCCTACAGAAGAAAAGTTCACACCTACTGGACCCTAAAACAAAATCAAGACTGAAACCAAACCAATATATATATTGAAGATATATGAAGTATTCAGTTTATCGTAACCTGACCTCAGAAAAGTTCAGCTTTATGCATGAACAACTCATGTAGAAACTAAAATTCCCTTGAGCTAAATTCTGAATTATTTTGTATCATCTCTGGGTGAATTTAAACATGAGTTGCAGCTCATCTGGTTCATCTCAGCTTTACATGAAAGAAAAAGGGAAGTGAATTCAGCCACATGTTTGTTAATGGCAGGTGCTTCCTGGAGGAGGATTGCAGAATATGAAGGGGTTTTACATACAGTGAACTTATTTTGATATTCTCTAATAGTGGCTACACCAGAAGATGTATAATTTATAAGGGTATAATTTACAACTTTAAATGCTTAAACTATGTTTTGTTTGTTTTTTACCTGGAAGTGATGGGATTACTCTGTCCCTCTTGTCTATTTGTCCAGCTTCAATGGGAAACATCTCCTTCAGAGATTTCTGCAAGGAAAAACCAAAGGGAACATTTCAGAAGCTGTGCATATTTTAAATTTGGCAGAGCTTTAGCAACAAACTACAGGGGAACTAACATGAAAAGTGTGGATCTCAGGATACGTCCTGTAGATCAGCTTCTCTGACTCATCGCTCCATTTCACCATCAGCCTGTATACCTGCACGACATTTTAAACACATGAACACTAAATGCCTTAGAAAAATGTTTGTTAAAGATCAGCAAACATTTATTTTCTTAAACCCTGACTTCAAGATTTAAAAAAGTCTTTTTTGGCACATTTTGTGTTTTAGATTGACTCACGTAGTGCTGACTTGGAAAGAAGCGTTTCTCAAAGCCGAGCAGCTCCACATGCCTGACGTAGATCTCCTCCATGCTGAAGGGCTGAAAACTGAAGTCAAAAGAGTTGCAGGAACTTTGCTTAAATAGTCTGTGTGTCGTCACACCACAAGAGATCATTTCCTCTTTGTCTGTGTTTGGACGTGGCATAACTTAATATACCTCAGAAAAAAAAAGAAAAAAAAAGATCCATCTACCGGCTAGTTAGTGAGCGACCAGGTATGCACACACTTATTCCTATGAGAAATTAAGCTCAATTTAATAGTCGTTTTGGACTCTAAAAGGCAGCCAGAGAATGTACCAAAAAAAAGAAAAAAATCTGTCCATATCACAGGCAGAAGATCCAAACCCAAGGCAAAGAGTCCAGGCTGGGATTTAAACATAGGACCGTCTCGTAAGGCAACAATGTTACCAAGTTAATTTAGCTTTTTCCAAGTAAAAATAAAAAATGCTAATGTGATGATGACTTAACCTACCATGATGACTAACATTAAGTCCATTCAGTAAGTTAACTCCAACGGGAATGGATGATTATGAGCCTGGCTAATCATTACTGACTAGACTTTGTCTTCCCCCCAATCAGTGATCATTACTGTGCATAAGGACTCACCTAAATATGTCAGAATAAGGCTACAGCCTATCAAAATGTAAAGGGAGATTTGCAAGGCATGAACTGGCGTTTGAAGTGGGTTAGGGTTAGACATTTACATGAAATGGGCTATAGCTGTCACATTTTCATCATTAATCCACTCCTGAACCAAATGGAATTGTCATGTTGGGTTGAATCTTTCTGACTCGCATGCCAGAACACCAGACAGAAATCAAAAATCAGTAAAAGATATTTATTTTGAAAATAAACAATGATCTGAACTGCAGGTCCCAGGGAATGTGGCAGCTGGTGCGGGCTCACTGAAGTGGGGGAGAAATGGAGGCGAGTTTGAGGGCTGTAGGAAATTAGCAATATGAAAAGACCAGGAACGTTACGCGTTCTTACTTGGGCAGGTGGAGATTTGAGCCGAGGAGAGTACTGAGGTTGTCAGGGTGGAGATCTTGCCTGGGGGAGTGGGGGGGTTGCTGCTAGGCCAACAGAGGAATTGAGATGGAGGACGGTCGGGATTGGAGGGCGGACAGGTAAGTTCTTTTCACAGAGGATCGGAGCAAGGGAGATAGCCAACAAGGAGATCCAGGAAGGTTTGGTTACTGTGAGGGAGTAAGTGGAGCTCGGGCTACCACAGGGTAACCTCCAACGGTGTCACAAGGAGAGAGTTTCACAGGGAACAGTCAGGGGCTCAGGCTTCCAGTTGGTAGAACCACGGCGTCACGAGAAGTCACCTGAGGAGGAGGCACACAAAGATTCACTAAGAGTTTCACAAGGAGATCTGCACAAGGAGAGACACGGGTGCCCTGTAGTACCATTACTGGCTACCACTCTGGCAAAGAGATGTTGTCTGCTCCCTCCTCTTAAGCTCCTCCAGATGAGTTGATGACCTGCAGGTGTGCAGGTCTCCTGCTCCAGCCGGCAATTCCCACCAGGAGTCAACCATAGGCAGCCTCTGGAGGAGAAAAGGAGGAAAAGCAGCAAACCCAACCACCTAGTATCCTAACAGTAATCTTTTCAAATTAAAGTAAATTTAGTACTTTAATTTGCCTGTTTTGTTTGAAGTGATAAAATAAATAACTGTTACTTTTCACCACTCCTTTCAGATTAAACATCTTCAAACAAAAAGAAAAAGCTCAAAAACAATCAGAAATGTCTCCCAACATAACATTTTTTCTCAATTAATAAACATTAAGGACACCCATTTGGTGTTGGAGTAGCTTTTGTTTTCTGTTTTCATCAATTTTAGCAATAATGCAAAGAATGCTGCAAGTGGGGCATTTTCCAACAAAACTTGTCATTTGTCATGAACCTTTTAACACATTTCTTTCACAGCATCCTCTGGTTGTCTGTGCCTCTTGTGAGGGCTCTAAACTAAACTCGTGTTTTCCACAATTTCTGCAACAGAAAGAGGAACAAAAATTGCAAAAACAAAAACAAACCCACACGTTCAATCTTGCTTTCA